ATGCTTCAGTCGCGCATCAGACCTTCTATCTGGATAACCATCACAGAGGAACCAGCAATCACTTCCGGTGTGCCCGCAGCATCATGCAGGCAGGGTGACCAATCGAGACATTCTGGCAGTGAGCGGAGAGAGAGGCAGGTATATAAAGATTGGAAATAATGTGGAATGACTTGGAAGTAATTAGTGGAAGCAGCTGGAGCTGATTATGGTGCTGAATGTTGGCTGGGGGGGAACTTAGAAGTCAATTAGTCCACAATACAAAATTAAAAAAGCTTGAAAAAAACAACTTTGTCTCACACTACTGTGATAAACAGAAACCAAAACTCTTACACATGATTTCATGTCATACATTTGGTATTTGTTTAAACACTAAAAGGTACATATTCAGTTTATTAATATAGAGCCAATTCACAACACATGTCATCTCAAGGCACTTTATAATTCAACCACTAACAAATAATCACTAAAAGAGGGCAGAAAAGCAAGATGAGTTGAATTAAAGCTGGTCAAAAACATTTAAATGGGCTATTGTGAGCTTTTTAATTTGGTATAATTCTGTTATAATGCTATTCATTTATCAAATTCATGCACAAAGTGGTATTTTCCTTGATTTATGTACATCTGAATAACCCTTATGAATTCTGCTCTCTGAGAAGGAGCTCCGCCGTGTCCTGGAAAAATGAGTGACCATCACTGTGCTTGCCCAATAAACAACAAGGTCACTTTCATTGTTGATGGGCTTTTATCAGTACGATATGAGGGAATGGCGAGAATCATAAAGGGGAATATAGGGGATGAGTGTGAAGAGGAGGTTGTAAAGAGTCAGGAGCCAACTTAAACTATTCAACTTCCTTTACTTAAAACTGCACATTTCCCTTAAGTTCCTGATGTTCATTAATGCTGTTCATTGCTTTTAGTTGAAAACAAGATGCACATTTCTGGGATCTCTTGCATAGTTAAAGAGGCATTATAGAGTTTTCAAAGGATACTGCCACCTATTGCCAAAACACAAAACTGCAGCCCTCTTGTGCTCGTTACTCGTACTTTTATTTTCTCTTTTTCGCTTCTGAGTATCCACAAAATCCATCTTGTTTGCCAGGTCAGACCCATTCCACATTCACTGCCTAAAGTCACATCCGCCAAACAGTGCCAGAACTTCTGACCTAAAGTACATTAGAGGGAAATAGGCTACAGCTAATAGATGCACTGAACCACTGAAGTGTTAGTCTGCTTATTCTAGTCATTAAGGGTTAAATAAAGGCTATAAGGTTCTATGGTCTGAAATTCAGCCAATGTTTCATAGCTTTTTATCTGCTATCCGACTAAGTGAAGTTTATCTGTCACCCTGGATGTAATGAACCTGCTCAGGCCCGCTGGATCCCTTTTTCTCACTGAATTTTGGGGTGTCTTCAGATCTTGGGCATCCTCTAGACTTTATTCTGCAGCTTCCAAAATGTAATTTAAGAGCTACCGCTATTAAGGCTTTTTATGGTTTGATTGGTTGACACATTAAAGGAGAGTTATTTCAAAAACGTTTATCATTTCCTGTCTAAAGCTTGTTGTTTTCTGAGATTTGTTGCCCAGTTTTGAACCTCTCTTTATTGATCTTAGTTCAATAAGGTTTTTTCTTCTCTTCTTTCACTCTGCGATATGAATTATGCACCAAAACTCTGTTACCAATATTAACATTTCAAAACCTTCAGTGAGCTTCATAGCTCCTCTCTTTAGCTGCCTTAAAGCTGTCTGAGCCTTTAATAGATGCTGACAGGGAAAATCCTTGTTTTTTCTGTCTTATTTAGAGACACATTGTCTGACTAAGATACATTGTATTCACCTTCAAAAGGTAAACTTTTCATGTCCCAGATGGAGAAGTTTGAGTATCTTGTTCTTGATTGAGGCGTAGCTCTAGTTCTACATTTCTGTCTACACGTCCCACCGTCAGGAGTAATTACAGATCCTTCCCTGCATGATTACAGGGTGCAGCCGTGCATGTCCACATGTTCCTGTTGGGAACCACTGGACAGATTGATGCCTGCCTCTGACCTGAAGGCCGTCTCTCTGTTAGCAGTCATGACTTTGGTGGGGTACCGCGCTCTCACCTCAGGGCAAACATCTCTGTCTCAGCATTCATTCCTCTAGAGCTCTACATTTATGTAGCAGCAGCTCCTCTATTATTAATGTCAACATATAACGCAATATATGACAGTTCTGACCTCTCTGACTCCAACACTGCACGCTGTGATCTGAGCAGGTTGTTGTATAATATCTATGAGAATGGCCTGTTTCACCTCCTCTTCAGGGTGTGTCAGCAGATCAGGACACAGCAGATCTCTGCAGGAAGCTCCTCCAGCCAGAGGGAGATGCTTGTTGCTCAAACCTGGGGTAGGAGCGCCACCTGCTGCACACACTTAGACAACTTTTATTGTCATTTTGTATACACAGGGTGTACCAACGAAATTTTATTTTGTACAGCTTTCATTATATTTCCATTCCTTAAATTGCAGTAGTGATCAAATGTGAACAGTGTGGGTGAAAAACATGGTGCAAAAAAAAAAAAAATGCATGGTTATGGAAGTTCAGAGCATTAAATATATATGGTGCAAATCGGTCTCCGCCAGGTGACGTCATTGTTTACCTCGGGCGCGGTGCATCGTGGGAAAACCACCATATTAGGCGGAAAGTCGAGTTAACCCACACGCGGCTGTTCTTTCGGCACAATTATTAACCTGAAATGGCCCGATCGTGTTGTGTGAGAGGCTGCCAGTCCCGGCATGGCAGATCGGGGGACGAAGGAATCCTTTTTTTCCGTTTTCCAACCTGGAAACGATCACACGGACCTCAATTGGAGGAAATAACAAAGAGACGTCGCATGGCCTGGCTTTCAGCAGTGAGGAGAAAGGATCTCATTTTCAACAAAACATTCCCCCACATGTGTGTTTGTTCTCGGCACTTTCATAAAGGTAACATAAACTTTTAATATTACTTAAAAAACGTCAGAAAATGCATTATTTGTGTTTTATTATTATTCATAATCACCATTATTCTAACTTATTATTTTTTATTATTTCAAAAACAAATTTAAACACCCATATTAAATTAATTAATTAATTTGATATAAGACATAGCCTTATCCAGTATGAACTTGCTTTCTAAATCAAACCTAACATGTGGTTTCAGGTGAGCCAGCTTATGAGATGATGGAGAGTGACCCAGACTGGGCCCCATCCTTACATCTTGGACACATGTTTATCAAACCAACAGACCCTGGTCGCTCTGCCAGACGAAGGGCACGGGAGCAGACACGGAAACAGACCCTTCAGTCAGCAGAGACAGGCATACACCAGGATGTAAACACTGACGGGCTACAGACCGAGGAGACATGTGATGCTGAAGAAGGAAATGGTCAGCTGGAGGTTGGAAAGGATGGAGAAAAAAACCCTCAGCAGGAGATCAGAGAGGATGGAGAAGAAAACCAAGAACACCCTCAGCAGGAGATTGGAGAAGAAAACCCTCAGCTGATCACAAACAAGGAGGTGCAGAACCCCACTGAAACTGTGACTCAGCCTGAATGTGACCTGTGTGTGCTCAGGCGTGCAGAGGTCAACCGCCTGACAGAAGAGAATATAGAACTGCGACGCAAACTTAATGAGAACATGATATCCGATAGTTTCTTTGGAGCTGATGATGAAAAAGTAAAGTATTACACTGGTCTGCCAAACCTTGCAACCTTCCTGGCGCTCTTTAATTTTTTATTGCCACTCATGTCATATCAAAAGAAATGTCTTACTCCTTTTCAGATGCTCCTATTCACACTCATGCACTTAAGATTGGATTTGCCTCTGCAGCACCTTGCTTATCTGTTTCATATTTCTCCTAGGACTGCACAAAGAACATTTCATGATATGGTTTCATGTCTTTATGCAAATTTGAGGCGTGCTATTATATGGCCAGACAGAGACACTCTCCGCAAAGTAATGCCACATCAGTTCAGGGAGGCCTTTGGAAACAGAGTAGCAGTGATTATTGACTGCTTTGAGATATTTACAGAAAAACCATCAAACCTAAAAGCGCGTGCCCAAATGTTCTCCAGCTACAAGCACAATCACACCATGAAATATTTAATAGGTGTGACACCCAAAGGAGCCATTTGTTTTTTGTCCAAAGGCTGGGGAGGTCGTACAAGCGACAAACACATCACACTGAACAGTGGCTTCCTTGACAATTTGTTGCCTGGGGACCTGGTCTTGGCTGACAGAGGTTTTGACATACAGGAGTGTGTGGGCATGCTGTGTGCTGAAGTTAAACTCCCAGCATTCACCAAAGGCCACTGTCAGTTAGCAGCTAGAGATGTGGAGGAAACTAGGAAAATAGCACATTTGAGAATCCATGTTGAACGGGTGATTGGAAATGTATGTCAAAAGTACAAAATCTTAAATGGAACTATTCCTATTTCAATGGTTTTACCCTGTGCTGGAGAAGAGGTCACATTCTTGGATAAGGTCGTCACTGTGTGCTGTGCCCTGACAAATCATTGTCCAACTGTGGTGTAGATACAGAAATCACCCAAGATGTAAATGCATTTTGATTTTTTTACTTGTGCATAAGGAAGGCTTGTACACACTGTAAACTTTCTTTTTTAGCACAATAAACTTTTTTCAACAAAACTTGTAAACATTAGCATAATAGAAATATCCCCACAACCTGCAAATATCAACCTGTAAACATTCTTTTGTAGCATCATAAAAAATTGTCAAACACTGAAAACTTGTAAACATTCTTTTTAGAATAATAAAAGTCTTCTAAAACCTTCTAAAACTGTAAATATTCCTTTTTTTTTTGGTAGCATAAAGAACATGGGTCATTGAGAAAAATATTAAGTTGAACTGTTTTTATGTGTGCATTTAACTGTCAAGTGATCAGTGCAAAAGGTAAACACAAGGAATAGCTTAACATACTGGTAACATATGTAAAGTGAAGAGGTAGTAGTATAAGGTGCTCAGCTACATTTGTCTGGTGAACACAAACAACACTGCAAAAAAAAAAAAAAACAGTTTAAGTTTTTAAATTTGAGCACTTCCAGTGTCAAGTGATTAGTGCAAAAGTAAACACAAGCAATAGCTTAACATACTGGTAACATATGTAAACACAAAAAAATCACTGTAAAACACACTAAAAAAAAAAAACAGTTTAAGTTTTTAAATTTGAGCACTTCCAGTGTCAAGTGATCAGTGCAAAAGTAAACACAAGCAATAGCTTAACATACTGGTAACATATGTAAACACACAAACATCACTGCAAAACACATTTAAATTAACAAAGACAGTTTAAGTTTTTGAATTCGAGCACTGAGGGCAAAGCCAAAAATCAGACTGAGCATCTTTGAGGTGTAGGCCAACACAACTCAAATGAAACCAAACGATGGGGCAGTTTTCATTGTCACAGGCCACCATGTCATCTTTGGCCTCCGGTCCATGGCACAAACACCATAGCTTGTCAGCTGCTACAATGTTGTTTGCTTTTTCAGCCAGAGGTTTTGCAGCCTTGCAAGGTCTTTTCCTTACAGGATCAGAGCTGTCTGTCAGCGGTGCTCGTTGTGCATCACGTGTGAAGAAGTGGCTGACCAGTTCAGGGAGACACACACGCTCAAAGAACTGCTGTGCCTTTTCAAGGAGTGCATTCCACAGCTTGGGGTCAGGTGCCACACGTAACACGACAATGTCTTTCAGGGTCCACACTACAAAGTCACAATATGCTGCATTAGCAACAAAAATTTGGGTCTGCACTTGTTTGTAGTATGGATGCTCCTTCTTAAGCTGCAGCTTTACCATCCACCATTTCCAAACAGAAATTTTTATCACCACTCCTGCATGCCTCCAGAATGGTATTGTCTCGGTACTTGAATGGGCACTTTATCTCGACACAGCCTTTTCCGCAGCAGGTGCACAGTACAATTGCATCAGGTGATGCTCCAACCTGGGGAAACTTGGGGTTGATAATGAACCCAGACTGGCTTAGCTCAAAGTCACAGTGTTGGTTTTCCATTTTCTGTTTGTACTGTGTTTGCCCTCTCTGTTCATTTTGTCTCCCCCATACAGTGGCAGCACAATGATTGGTTGCACCGCTGTTTGTGCCACATACTGCTTTGACGGTTGAAACTGCAGGGTTGTCCAAATCTGACCGAAAGACTGCGTGCATGGTTGATGCTGTTACCCTTCCTGTGCGAAACCGATACCATGTTGAGGATCTGTGCTGTGATCTACTATGCAATTCTATGTAGTGGGCCTGGTCCTGTGAAATGTCTGCCTTTTTTAACAAAGTTTTGCAGTGCAACCGTAACGCAGACAGACAAATCACTGCAATCCATTTTTTATCACGCAGTCGGGACAATGAATCTGGTGCAGGACATGGCTGTAATGTGTCTGCAAATGAATCACAAAATCCTGGTACACAAGACAAAACAGCAGCTTTAGGTGAGGCTTTCTGCAGTTCACAAAGATATGCGCTCCACTGGTCCTGTGTGCTGGTGTTGCCTGTGCAGGTGCTTGTGACAGTTCTGAGCGCTGGCATGTGTTCGGCCTGACCATCCAAGAGTTGGTCTAGGCTTTTCCGTTTAGCTTTTGATGATGTAAAATTGATCTTGTGTCCCACCTCCGCTCCCACTTTGTTTATGTTGTTCGGTATCATCCAGTATGCAGGCTCTCCTGTAACAGTTGTTTTCTCCCTGCATCTGATAGTGGCCTCCAACTTGAACAGCATGGCAGCTACATGCGTACAGGTCTCTGCTATCCCAGCCATACATGTACAGTGAGCAGATGATATGGCTCCTGATCGGTCAATGATGGCCCAGGGTTTCAGTGGTGTGTCGTTTAGTCTTTGGGAGTGCATGACCTACAAGGAACATAACACAGATACAAACGTTTTAGTGGGATGGGAGTCTTACATATGTTCAGGCAGGGGGGGATTTAGCATTAGGCAATACTAGGCAGGTGCCTAGGGCCCCAAGTTCCTGGGGCCCCCATAACATGTATGTTTAATACAGCTATTCCTGACTTGTGCACTTTAATTATGTTTTTGATATAAATGCTTTCGCTAAAAGGACAGCAGCAAACCATTTGAAAAAAAATGATACAATGAGCGGTTTTGTACTTGAGCGACTTTACAGGCTCTTCTAGCACTTTAATATCAAAAAAGGGCCTAGCGCCAAATCTTGCAAAATTTTTCTGCTACTGGAGACTTTGGCGACCACATTCATAGGGCCCCCTGCCTGTCTTTGCCTAGGGCCCCCATTTTTCTAAATCCGCCCCTGTTTTCAGGCTTATGTTAACTGTACAGACTTATCTTGGACAGGCTGCTATGTAAACGTGGGCATAAAAAAAAAAAATATTTTGATTACTGAACATCATTTAGGAGCTTGCTTGAGAAGCGCTGAGGGAGCTTACCTTTGCAGTAACAACTGTGTTGTTGCACATCTGTGGTCGGTAGGAAAACAGATCCTGAACCCAGCCATTTGTGAACTGTCCGTGTGCTTCCAGTGATTTATATGCCTTGAATTCCTCGCACGTGTAGGCACTGACGCCAAACACTAGGTAAGTGGTTATGTCCACTGATGAGGTCGGAGGCAGTGAAGAGACGTCGGAGCTCCAGTCTTTGCTCCGGAGATCATAGGGATCTATGCCGTTAATATCCGACAGTTTGGCCAAGTAACGGTCCCTGGCCTCGTTGTTAAGTTTTTCCCGGTACGGTAGTTTCGCATTCTGCTTACTTTTTTCCATGTAGTCGGCGAAAAAAACTCAATCCTTTAGTCCTTTTGTTTGGCTGTGCTGCGGCTGTTTACACTACGCCTTCTCCACTCAAAATGGCGTCTTAGCAACAAATGTCACGTGACTGACGGAGACCGATATGCAGTGTTTTGCTTTGTCATGTGATGCAGAGTCTGCAACACTCATGTATTATCTTCACATTTACTCAGTTAAGAGATTTAAACTTCTAAACCTGAATTCACAAAATCATAATCTTTCCTCCAGCTTTTTAAAATGAAAAGTCAACCATTTATTTCATGTTGGTGAAGATTCTCAGCCATCCAGGCAGGGGCGTGCACACATAGACACTAGGTGGTGCTAAAGCACTAGGAAGTTTGCCCTCTATCAAAGAAAATGCCCTTTTGAAACTCGTTTTTTTTTTTATTATTATTAATATTATTAAGATTTTACTGAGGTCGGTTTTGAAATGATCTTTTGAAAACCTGAGCCATTAAAAACGACTGAAACAATGCCCCGAAATGACCGACCTACTTGCGCACAAACGACCCTCTCTCTCTCTTCCTTTGTCACGTGAACTCGCTCGGTCGCCCGCAGGGCGTGCCAGATGCGCAGCATCATAGCAGTTTTCAGATTGCAGGAACGGTCGCTGACAGGCTGCTTCTCCCGTGCCCCATTAGCCAGGTAATATACAGATCAAGCAGAATCATTTTGTTGTGCATTAAAATGTGTCATTCAGCAGCACCAAACACGCATTTTGCCGACTGGTCACCAGATAAACTAGTTGTCTCCTTGTAAGATGCTATTTTACTTTTTATATTTTGTATCCATATTTTCTATCTTAAGTGTATGTATTAGTCTATTTTATTGCATGACGTATACCCACAGTTTTTAGATATTTTTATAATTTTATTTACCTATTCCATATTATAGCTATGTTTCATGTTGCACGATTGTACCATAAAAAATTCCTAGTTTGTGAACTCCTTCACTAACAATGGCAATAAACCTGATTCTGATTCTGAAAGTTTTACACTGTAGCCCAAGTCAATGACAGATAACGTGAGGACGACCACATAGGCTACAAATAATTTTGGTAGAGTTTGCAATTGCAAATACGGAAGAGGATTAGGGCCACTGAAAAAAAAAAGAAAAGTTAACTGATTTTTAAATTTTATTTCAGTTTAGTATGGGAAAAAAGTCAGAATGCTGACTTTAATCTCATAATTCTAACTTTTTTCTCATAATTCTGACTTTTTGCTGAGAATTCTGACTTTTTGCTCAGTATTCTGACTTTAATCTCAGAATTCTGACAATAAAAAAGTCAGAATTCTGACTTTTTTCCCATGTTAAACTGAAATAAAATTTAAAAATCAGTTAACTTTTTTTTTTTCAGTGGCCCTAATCCTCTTCTGTACAAATCTATGTGTTAAGACAAACGTTTTCTGTTGTATAGGTTTTGTTAGGCAACATAAATTAACACATTTTGGTCTCTTTATTGTCTTAATTATATATTGATTTAGTAATTGCAGCACAATACCAAGAAAGGAGGGTTAATCATATTGAAAAATCTTAAAAGCTGTTCACATTTTATTTTTAAGTGGTTTGTGCAGCAGATATTAAAATAGCTATTATTTTGTAGGCTACCATAAGTCATATCCACGTGACAAGACTTCCAGTCATGTTGCCCTAATAGCCCATTATTTAAACTAATGTGGCATATTTGTTAAAGCTATTATTATTATTATTATTATTATCATTATTATTGTCATGATGGTTATTATTAATATATTGTAGCCAGTCACAGCAGGGAAGCTCTATACCATCAACATCTACCAGGACAGGAGATGAGGAAGAGTTCAGGGAAGACACAGAGACAGAAAAAGACCAGGATGAGGGAGAACAGATGGGTGAGGGAAAACAGGGAGATGAGCCAGATGAAAGAAGTATGCTTTAGTCTGTTCTGTTGGTGATGTGACTTTTTTCCATTGAAAAATCACGTTTAGAGAATGTTACAAATAAAAGTCAAATTTCATTCAACATGCGTTTATTTTTTTTTATAATTAAGTGTTACACGTGCGCTAAAAAGTGCCCCCCCCCCCTCCTGAGCACCTGCCCCCCAAAATGTCTGTGCACGCCTCTGCATCCAGGTCATGGTCATTCAAAAGAAAATCCACTGGACTTTGATTCCAAGTTTAGAGACGTTTTACTTCCCATCCAGGAAGCTTTTGTAATTGAAAATCTCTCGAATAGCGTTAAGTTCGAGGCTTTATACAGTAGCCATTCAAACCCTTGTTTTTTTTTTAAACATGCTAAATTGAAACGGACCAAGGGGTCCTCCCCTTTGGAATGGGGGTTGTTTGGCTACTGCAATGCTCCATACCCGTCTAAGTCTCTGAAGCAAAAACAAGGTTTTGATTGGCTACTGTATAAAACCTCCAACTCAACGCTATTCCTGACATTTTGAATTGAAAGAGCTTCCTGGAAGAGAAGCGAAACGTCTTAAAACTAGTAAACAAAGTCCAGTGGATTGTTTTCAACTTGCTTTTTTTGGAATGACCATTTATTTCATGTTTTGATATATATTTGTTTTTTTTAAGGTAACGTTTTTCATATTTTAGATGTTTCCCTGATATTTCTATGAGAATCTCATAAAGATGCTAATTACATATTAAATGGATTCCTTGTCTTCATTGCAGGGTTCGTGGAATCGGGACACAACAAGAATCTGGTCTTCTTACTGAAAACAAAACACAAGAGGACAGAACATAACTAACAGACTGGCACTCTGTCAAACAAAGATTAGGCCAAAGAAAATCTTTGTTTCTTGCTGCCTTTATGGGTCTCTAGCTTAAAAATGTTTAAGTCGGCTGACAGTTATTTCCAATTACAGTATTTTAACTCACTTGTTCGAGTTAAGGTCCTTCGGATGGGCCACTGCAAACCTTGATTCTCCAGTAGTACATAGTAATCCAGCCTCTGGGGATGATTCTGCAAAAACTGTTTTAATCTGAATGTCTGAATTCCCTCATTAGCATGCAGTCATTGAACTCTGCAGAGGCTGAACTAATAACAGGACATTCATTTCAACTAATATTATGGGGATAGCAACTCTTAAGGACTGGGGATTGGTGTCAGTTATCATTGTCTTGATTCTGGAAATTTTTGGTTCTGTTTTGTTTTCTTTTTAGGTGATTCTGTGTTTGTCAAGATTGATATAATTTTTGAATTCTTAGTTTTACTTTCCCTTGTTCCCTTCTTTCAGTTATCTCTTTCCAGCATTTTGATATCATTTATTTTTTGGTCTAGTTCTAGTTGTATTCATGATTTTTATTTCCTTTAACCTAATTTATGTTATGTCCTGTTACAGGACATAACATAACATAAATACATTTATGACATAACATAAACTGGAAAAATTCCTGGTTTCTCTACTCACCTTGAGTAACTTGACCTTTTGAGCTCAGATAAAGATATAGTAAAGAGGAGATATTATGTTCTGGAAGTTATTTTTCTTTTATTGACATGATATGTATTGACTACAATAAAGATTGACATGTTTATGATGAAAGCATGATTTCAAATCGGGTTTCTTCTGCTCAAAATTGTTATTTAGTAATAATGTTTAATTATTGTAATCTTTATCTTTGGAATACCGTTACTTGCAAAAATTGTCTGTCTGAGAACCAAACGTTAAACCAGATGTTACAAGCCAATGATTACTATGTACTTAGAAAGCCGTTATACTATGTACTTTATAATACTCTTACTTGATTAGATATATATGCACACGTTAAAACAATAATTACTATTGTACAATGGAATAAAAAAAAAATCAGTTTCCCAGTTTGCTTCAGAAGATCTGCTTTCAACAATATAAGTGAAATCTTGACAATTGTTGGGATCCAAGGGTTTGCCCTCCAGAGGGCTGTGTGGATCCCTTCCTGTGGGCTTCTATTTCTGTTGGGATCCAGAGGTTTGCCCACCAGAGGGCGCCATGGATCCTCACCTGGGAGCTGGTTCTCTGCGCTCAGCTGATTCCTATCAGCTCTGCTGATTAACCTCTCCCTATATAAACTGTTTGATAGCTTCACTCTGAGCCGGATCGTGGTCATAGTCTTTGTTGCCATGTGCTGCCATGCTTTGCCATTGCCATGCCTGCCTGCCTGAATCTGCTTATCTTTGCCTGTTAAACCCAGCCTGTCAAACCAGCGAACCTGTGAGTTTGAGCTTGTTAATCTGTCCCTGAGTTTAACCTGTGCTCTGTCTTCTCTACCTTCCAGGGCAGAACCCTGTGTGGATCCAAATAAATATTGGACCTTAATCCTGCCTCAGGGACCTGCTAAATCATGACAGAACGATCCGGCCAACAGACTAGCCCAGCAGACTCTATCCACGCTCACCTGGTGAGGCCCGCTCAGCGCCGTCCGCTCCCTCCCGGGTGGGAGGCGCTACGCCGTCACTATGATGAGTTAGTGGCCGCTTTAGCCCCTGAGTTAGCCCCGTGCCGTCCAGAGACCCCTGAGTTTGCCCCGTGCCGTCCAGAGACCTCTGAGCAGGTCGTGAGGGAGAGGTTGTGCCGGCGTTTTTTGGATTATGAGTTGGAGATGGAGCGGCGTCGACGTAATGAGGAGTTGGATCGTAAATGGGAGATGGAGCGGCGTCGACGAGATGAGGAGTGGAATCGTCGAATGCAGGAGATCTGGAGCCGTTCAAGGACCCCTGTTCCTGAAGTGGAACCGCAAGGGACGGCCTCCTGTGTTCCAGTGGAGCCACAGCCGGTAAACTCCTCTGCCCCAGATCCGGAGCCGCAATCGACAGCCTCCTGTGTCCCTGTAGAGCCACAATCGGTGGTTTCCTCTCCTCCTGATGCGAAGCCGCAATGGGCGGCCTCTTCAGTCCCTGATTTGGAACCGCAATCGGCGGCTTCCGGTGCTCCTGATGCGAAGCCGCAATGGGCGGCCTCTTCTGTTCCTGATCCTGAGCCGCAGTCGGCGGTTTCCTCTGAGCCTCCTCCTGAACCGCAGTCGGCGGTTTCCTCTGAGCCTCCTCCTGAACCGCAGTCGGTGGTTTCCTCTGAG